GTAGTCACCCATGTTATTATACACTTGACCGATGTTGTTGTACGAAGAAGCCAAATCAGGATGATTCGGAGGGAGAGTTTTCTCGTAGATTTTATGTGATTTTTCGTAAAATTCAAGTGCTTTCGAGTAGTCACCCATGTTATTATACACTTGACCGATGTTGTTGTACGAAGTTGCCAATGAGGGATGATTCGAAGGCAGAGCTTTTTCTTTAATTTTATGTGATTTTTCGTAAAATTCAAGTGCTTTCGAGTAGTCACCCATGTTATTATAGACTAGACCAATGTTGTTGTACGAAGTAGCCAAATCTGGATGATTCGAAGGCAGAGCTTTTTCGTAGATTTTATGTGATTTTTCGTAAAATTCAAGTGCTTTCGAGTAGTCACCCATGTTATTATAGACTAGAGCAATATTATTGTACGTAGGAGCTAATGAAGGATCATCTTTCGGAAGAGTTTTTTGCTCGATTTTCAGAGATTGTTCGTAAAATGCAACTGCTTCTTCGTATTGTCCTTGGTTTCGTTTCATCATTCCAAGCTGGTGATAGATGTATGCTCTATCACTATCGTTCGATGCTTGTTCCAGTAGTGCCAGATATAGTTCTTCGGCCTTGTCGAATTGACCTATTTTGAATAACAATTGCCCCATTCGATACCATCCGGTACCGTCGACTTCTTGTCGTATGTAGTCAGTTAATTCTTGAAGTTGTGGGTCATCATCTGACGTAAGTTTAAGATCGACTTGATAAAGTGCACGATTGTTGTCAATTTTTCGCACTTCCCCAATGCGAAAGACGGTGTGCATGGTGAAGAGAATTTCCTCTTCTTCCTTATAATAGCTCACCTCTCGAATGGAGGCGAATGGAGTTGATGAAACTGTAGGATCAATGGTTATTTGGAATAGAATTCCAACCATGTCGGTTGTTCCTAAGGCTTGATTAGCGAAGTTGAGAGAGATTTCTCGATTTTTGCTGGTGGATAAAAAGTTGTTAAAAGAAATAAGCCCGCCTTTGTTTTTTGCGAGCTTTTCAAAATCTGCTTTCGATAGGCCATGCCCTCGAAAGACATTGAAGATCTCTTCATGAGAGGGACTGACCTGTTGTTTGTGTAAATGTTCAATTTGTCGATGTACATCGCATAGAAAGAAGCCCATTCGGATCATAATGTCGCCGTTGAGTGTTCGTAATGCTCCATTGAGCATTTTGTACGTGAAGCACTCACGTGTATACCACCAAATGGCTTTTGATGCTTGATATGTACGTTGAAATTCATCAATAATTTTCATTTCATTATCATTATCGTGGTATATTTCTTGGCAAAATGTAACTAAGTCTTTGATTGCTTGCTCGCTGTGTTCTATTTCAAGGAGAATTTCCTTGAATATTTGTGAATACATGAAGGTAGGTTCTAGCTGATTAACATTTTCAGTAGAACCTCCTTCATTCGCACCAATAATGCTTATCGACATGGTATTTTGGTTGCATTGATTGACAGCCATTTTCAATGCATCACAAATGGGTTGTATTGAGGTATGTATACCTTTGATTTTTGCCCAATTTTGGGCCCATATTTGATGCCGTTGCTTATTGCCACAAAATATAAAAATGGCATTTAATTTTGCCATATCATGAATGTCTGGTACCAGGTGTTGTCCAAGAGCACCTGAGGAGATAACAAATGAGATTTCCTCTTGATTTTCCATAAGCTGTTGAATACATTGATCAGCTGTTGTGCACGTATTGACTTGGTTGACGATAGCACGTAATTGTTCCATTGTATTTTGGCAATCTTGATTTGCCATGTCGATATTTCCATCGACCCAGATGACCAAATAATTTTCAGCCATACGATGCCTTTGATATCGAGTCATTTGTGATGCCATTTTTGCTGCTTGGTTAGTAATTTGTGTATTTTAAAGAATATATTGTTGTTTGAATAGTTATTACCTTTTCTATTTATTCATTCAATGTCTGCTGTTTTTTTTTGTTGACACTCAAGGACGAACTCAACTAGATTGTAATTGAAAATATCGTTGTCAACATGGGCGGCGGAGCGGTCTTGGTCTAGGGTAGGCTCAACTTTTAAGCCAAGTCCAGCACCGAAAGTCAATTGAAAGACTTTTTTTTCGTTTATAATGGTAAGCGCTACAGATTCTCTTGCTAGGTTTAAATTCCGTAGAATTTGATAACTAAAGGATGGTTCGAAAGTTTCGACCCTTCTCTATAAATCGATAATATCTACAACAAACTTATACAAAGTTATTGATCAAATTGTGTTATTTTGTAGAGGAAGATGAGAGGTATCATTTGAAAAAATTATTTCGAAATACATAAATCTATTATAATGTTATGATCATTTTAGCAGCTTTGAGCTGGCATCCCACTCCACCTCTTTTTCCTCCTTTTCTTTTGTTCTTTTAAAATTCCTCTTTTTAGCCTCTTTTTTCGAAAAAAACCGCTTTTTCCTCTTCTCTCACGAAGAAGCAGGTCGTTGACAAAAATATTCATGAATATATTGATTATTGCTACCGTATCATACAAAAATATCACATAACAAACTGATGTGCTGATCAGTCAAGTTCCATAGCTAAGGAAGCTAAAGTATATGATTTTAGTGATCAACTTCAGCGATATTATATATCCATAATCGGAACCCAATTTTTGTAGTTCTCTAGCGGAAGCAAAAGCACTCAATTATGTTTCCAATATGAAATCGTCATTCTCTCATGATCTGAACATGTTTTTCTGAATAAGATCGACATGTAAAATTATAATCTTGAGCTCACTTTTCTTGACCATTTTTTTTCGGCCCCAGAGAAGCTTGTGATATGAATCTAACAATAGATAGGTAACTCGTAGCGTAGCGCATGGTTCAAAGCAAAGAGTTCCTAGGATGACTAGACTCAGTCTAGAATTCTGTCAGATTCAATGGGATTTGTTCGGCAAGATAGCTTTCGATAGTATGATAACATAAGTTGAAGATTTCTGCTTGTCAGAAAATGAAGTAATCCCTCTTTCTCTTCTTCCGAGTTTCTTCGTATACAATCACATTTTGAAGGTTCGTATATCTCCAAAACCGTACACGGAGAAATATAATCGTATACGAAGAAATACAAAGTAAAGCGAAAAGTGTAGACGAGCTTTGTTTGTCTATAAACGATCATATTTTTGCGCATACGATCACGGATTTATACGATCACATTACTGGGCAATATGAAACGCCGTATTTCTCCAATTACGAGCGTGTTTGCTTGACATGGGCTAATATTGACAATAGTTTGATGATACTTGGAAGAAATCGGATATGATGGAATGCAAAAGCAACAAACAGGGGTATCCGATAACCAAAAAGTAAGAGATCATACAATCTACTCAATACAAGTAAGTCGTTTTATACAGAACCCAAGAAGATGATCATATGTCACTGCGAAAAATTAAGCGTTTTCGATAGCACCTGGTCAAATGATTCCCACAAACCTGCTGTCTGGACACAGTTGCAACCAATGTATTAATTTATGTTGAGAAACGGAAAAGTGAAACTGACTTGCGAAAAATGGTCAAAATCACGGAAGAATTGCCGAAAATTGAGAAAGCGCAAGAAAAACTTTCTCACATGCGCAACCATCCGAAAAAAGGGAACAAAACGCAAAAAGGACATTTAATGAATTTTGATTGTTTCTATTTCTATATACCTACTTAGTTAGACAGTAAAATTATACTCACAATGGAGGTGTTCGTGTTGTAAGTTAAATCGACTAGACATATTCGAGTCAAATGAAAGCTCTCACCGTCAAACTAACAAGGTTAAAATATTAGCGGCAGTTGACTTACCTACAGTGAGATATTCAAATTTTTAGGTATTTACAGTGTATGTAAGATATCCACAATTGAACATTTCGACCAAGTTAATGTTTCTTTTTTTGTGGCGGTTGTATAGAGCTCGTCGAGTTGCATTAGAAAAAGTATGTTTGAAATTTTAAAAATGGGCTTAAAAGTACTTTTTACGAAGGTCACAAATTCGGGTCTATTTCTCCTAATATTTGAAAATAATGGTAACTGGAACCTATTTCTAAAACTTTTTTAAAGTCCATTTTTAAAATTTCAAACATACTTTTTCTAATGCAACTCGACGAGCTCTATCCAACCACCACAAAAAAAGAAACATTAACTTAGTCGAAATGTTCAATTGTGGATATCTTACATACACTGTAAATAACTAAAAATTTGAATATCTCACTCTAGGTAAGCCAACTGCTGCTAATATTTTAACCTTGTTAGTTTGACGGTGAGCGCTTTCATTTGACCCGAATATGTCTAGTCGATTTAACTTACAACACAAACACCTCCATTGTCAGATACTATGCAGATAGAATATTTAGAATATTTTTCTAATGTTTTCCGGTTTTCTAATGGATAAATAGGCAGCTGCACAAAAATCTCTGAACAATTTGGCAGTTTCGTTTTTGTTTTTCTCTTTCAAGTCATATTTAGCCTATACTGATAACGTACGAGTTTTGTCGGATCTATAGTACTATA